ACAGTGATAAGTGGATAGATATAGGTTATATAACGATATAAATATGAAGATGGTCCGGTCGTCTAAAAACAATTATATGTAATAACAACAAAATTTACCAGGTCTCTTAAAAGTCGTTATATTATAACTGTATATTAATTCCAATTTAAAAAGAATATTTTCGAATTGCAAAAATTCCCTGACTTCAACAATTTTTCCTTGACTTCTCCCTGACTTTTCCCGCTTTTGAAAATTCCCTGACTTTTCCAGGTTGGTCGCCACCCTGAAAATAGACGGTTGACTCTCGATAATTCAAATTTTTTGTCAATTCGAACTCTTCAGTTGTTGACTTCGGTAAATCGTAAAAATGCTTTATTTTGATAGCTCGAAATCCTTTTTGTAACAAAAGGGGAGAGAACGTTCTATAATTCGAACTAGAACCCCTTCTACCCCTCTTCACCCATTACCACTAGACCAAATTATAAAGTTTAGGTACTCGTACGACATACAGTTTAACATTCTTTTAAAAGAGTATGTTTTTTTGCATTGGTGCACTGTTTAGGAGTTATAGGTGAAAAAACAATAAAATTATCAAAAGAATCTTGCTTTTTCGGCTGTAAAAAGTTTTCCCTAGGTGGCCTGCATTAGCAATTTTGTATTTTTTACATGTTTAAACACATATATACAAGTTAAAAATAAAAAAACTTCTCATATTTTACTAAATGAATTTTCTCTTTTGATCCTCAAGTTACTGGCCTATTATTTTTTAAATCACCCGCCATTTTTACAGGTAGCTAGATCCTATTGGCAGACTCATATTTTTAATATAAATGTTGAATATTTAATAATTGACCGTTGCATTATAAAGGAAGAAGATGGTCCGGGGTTGCGGTCACAAATAGGCTAAATAGTGGTAAAACTATTTTATTGAAAGCCTTCAATAAAATAGTTTTACCACTATTTAGCCTATTTATGACCGCAACCCCGAACCATATTCTTCCTTTAAATGTTATAAACATTTAAAAAAATACTTTCAAAATTTTCTTCAAATCGATTTTTTTGCACGGGCTCTCAGACTATATAGCAAAAGTTTTTAATGTGTTGTTTTAAATATAAAGTCGGCGACTCTAATGAAAAACACTTCATAAAAGATGTTCTACGAGCTTTTTAGTTGTTGATTCATCAAATGCATGCATCTTGCTTCTTGTATCTTCGGTGTGAAGAGGGGTCTTAGTTGTCTGCGTTTTTGCACCATATGTGAGAATTGGACAAATTAAAGTTTTGTACAAAATAATCTTTATCTTCCTTGAAATGAACCTGTTTGCGAAGTGATGTCTCAACATAAAGTAGCTGCAGTTTGCAGATATTATTCTTTTTCTGATCTCTATCTCCATTTCATTACCATATGTAATTTGGAATCCTAGATATGTAAATTCAGTGACTTGTTTGAAGAAGTAGTTTCTTAACCACACTTTGTCTCCAGTCATAAGGGTGTGCTTGGACACCATTTTCTTAGTTAATCTCCAGAACAAGTCTTTTCACTTTTTTTTTTTCGAGAGCAGAGAATGCCTCTGGTTAATGCTAATGGTTGATTGATGCTGTCGTATGCTGGAATATAATGGAGAGCAGTGATATGAATTTTCCTATCCTTCTCTAGTATTGTTCTAAAGCTAAATATTTGGTTCATTGTGGATTTGCCTTTACGGAATCCAGACTGATAAGAGCCTTTTTCTCTCTCAGTGAATGGGAGTAATCGTTTAAACAAAATGTTGGACAGGACCTTTTACGCTCAGGGTAGAAGGGAGATGTCATGGTCAGGGATGGACTATTCCAGGCGGAACGAATTCCAACATCGGAACGGAATGAGACCCTAGGAAACTTTGTTCCGCTGGAATGTAAAGTCTCTCAATGGGTTAATGTTCAGCAGCAAAGTCAAGTTGGTACAAAAGTGATTTATTGCAATCAAGGTGAGTACGCTATAGCAGATTGCTGCCACAGTGGATTAGCGGAATAGTCGAATTGGTTGTTTCCCTTTTTTTTTCCCCAACGATTTATTACATTTTCGGCATAAAATTTTGAATCTTCTATGGTAATAACAAGAAAAAGAGTAATTGATAAAACAATAATTAAACAATGGATACAAAAAAGAAAACAATAGTTGAAAATAAAAAAGCAATCGATAGAAATATCTATCACAAGAGCCGAGAGAAAATTGAAAAGGGAGAGAGGAGGCCAAGTATAAGCTGACCGGACACGATGATTGTTTCTCCTCAAAAAAATATTGTTTCCTAGACTTTAGTAGGCTGGGCGAGATGGGAGGGGTGAGTATGCAAGACGAACACAACAAATAGTCCAGTAAAGTTAGGGAAAAAACAGCCTTAGCCCAACATTAAAAAAATAAAGAAGAAACTTGTCAGAAATTGTTTATTATTCTCCCCATAATAACTAGTAAAAAGTCGCAAAGAATCCCGCATCAGGTTTTGATAGGGGGAGGGGGAGAAGGACAAAAAAACTGATATTTTTTTAGTTTTTTGAGAAAACTAAAAAACTATGAAGTTTTTTTGCAAAGATTGTTTAGAACTATATTAAAGTACTTTAAAATCTCTATTAAAATGATACTATATATTGTTTTGATAAACTCAGTAGTTATGGAGATATCTTGAGATTATATTTATTGTATTTCCACTTAAAGCAAAAATTCCTTTAAACCACAAAATTGATTTTGTTCATAGTAGAAGATACCTTTTAGAACTTTAATTAGTTTTTAACATTTTTGATCATTCAAATCATTATTCAAAGTTTCTTTCTTTTAATGATTGTAAAAAGTCATTGACAACAGAATTATAATCGATATCAATCAATGGGAATTTCGTGATGATGATATGATGTTTAGGTTGACAATAATTTCATATAATATGTGATAGAAGACATTAAAACTTCTAAAAGGACTATAAACCATGATCTGATTACATAAACAGAACAGGAAACTTCATTCTTGTGATTTTTAAGCCAACTGCATTTTATTTTGAAAAAAAAAAGCAGTAACTAAAAAAATATTTAATTTAGGTTACAAACAATTACTTCATAATAAACTAAATTAAATTTATATTAAATGCAAGTCAATTTTGTATTTTTTAAAATTATTTAAAAAGGACTTTCAAGCAGTTAAACTACAGTATGTTCGGTTTTTCATAAAATCAAGGATATTTCGCAATTTTTTTAAATAACCTCCCTACAGGTCTGAAGATACGACACTTTCCGAAAAATTTCTTTGTTTGTGGAGCTTTAAGTCTATATTAATTAAGATGAGTTTAAATTTTCTCTTATTGAGTAAACATATTGTTAGTATGGTAAAATTAGGAATCCACCCAAATATTTTTAAATCAGTTAGGGATAAATCTCAACTTTCCGAAAAACTTCTTTGTTTGTGGAGCTTTAAGTCTACATTAATTAAGTTGAGTTTAAATTTTCTCTTATTGAGTAAACATATTGTTAGTACGGTAAAATTAGGAATCCACCCAAATATTTTTAAATTTTTCAACTCAGTTAGGGGTAAATCTCAACTTACTCTGTAATTACAAAAAATAATCATACAATTAACGTTACTCTGGAAAACATAAAATATAATATTACATAAAAAAGGCAACAAAAGAAAAATTTCCTTCATAAACAAAATTAATAATAATAGAAAAAAACAAAATCTGGTACGCGCATTACACGACTTTCACTTATCACCCTCTTCTTAGCAGAAATAAGTATTTTCAGACAAAGGAGAAATGAAAGTAAAAATTATAGACGCTATATTAATTTACATTTCATTGTGGGTATTTTTATTTGTGTAAATACCTTTAAATAGACAAATTTTAATTTTTTTTTTATCGCTGTATTATATACAATTAAATATAAAATACTACCAACGATAGCATTTATGGAAACCGCATATGTATATGTACATAATATTGTCAGAGTCCACATTAAATTAAACTCATGTAACGTATGTACTCTTTCCGGTGAGTTCGGTTTCCTTTGGTTCTTCTATTATAACTATTATCCGTTATGATCTCTTATATCTCCTTTAGTTAATTATTAAATTTTTTCATTTTTTATATTTTACTCTTTTTTCTATCAAAGATTAATGTGAAATGCTTAATTATTTCAAATAAAAAAAATTAAAGGAACTTTAGAGGAAGCTAATATTGAAAATTAGCCATTTAAGCTCTGTTAGAGAACATCATTGAGAATAAAACCTACATTATATTAAAAACTGCTTAATAATACACTGATATACCGAGTTTAATCAAAATCGTTCGAGCCGTTTTTGAGAAATTGATTATATAAAGTACCACTTCCGGTTTGCCGAAAATGCTGCTGTAACATCCAAAGATTATAAAAACCTGAAAGACGCAATTTCTAATGCCAAAGAGAGGATGAAGACTCAGATGGGCAGGCTATGATGGAAGAATAAAACATGGAAACGATTCAGCATACCTAACTATTAAATTATATGACCTCAAATTTTAGATACTGAAGAAGGTGAGAATATGCATAGTCTTGCTTTCAAAAAATTGGAAAACTTAAATATCAGCAAATAAAATCAAGTGAAATGCTTGTTATTCTGACTTTTGATTTTATTATGTAATTTTAAATATTTAATAATGCATTTTTAGATCACTTATACTTTTAAAATATAGTAAATTTAAACTGAATATTATTTAAAATTGTTCAGAAAGAACCATTGGAAGGAAAGAGAAAAAATATTGAGAGAAACAAAATCAATTGGTAATGCAGCAAGTTATTATATAAATGTTTGTGTAGCATTTGGAGAAGAGACTTTATATGATAGCAAGTACTGGGGGTACTATATCCCAGGAATCATTTTGATGGTGAAGGTAGCTCCTAGTTTAAGTAAAATGAATTGCATTATTTTATTTAATTAAAAACATGTAATACTATTAAATAAATAAATAAGAAGAAATTTAATTTTACTATATAGTGTTTAATTTAAAATGAAATTTAGTTACCAACAGAAGTGCTTCTGATAATACAATGGTCGATAGTTGGACTGCAGTTTTCTCCTACTTCCAAACAATAGTGTTTATGGTGCAAAACGGTAGAGGCAACATCAGGAGTAAACTTTAATGTTAGGTGACCAGCATAAGCAGACTTAGCACCATCACCAAACATCATAGTCGAACCAGACTGCCTTTCTAAAACAACTGCTTCTGCTACATTCCCTGGAGCAGCTCCTGAAATATTGGTCTATAATGTTAAATCAGTATATATAACAGTTACATATATATAAAGAAGTTAAAACTCATGTTTTAATACTTTAATTGGTTTGAAAGTATAACAATTTAGAAAAATAACACGTTCAAATCACAGAATTGTGGATTTAAAGAAAATGAATAGAGAATTTTTTTTTTTTTTTATTCAATAATTAAACACTAATTAAAAAACAAAAATTACACACACACACACACACACACACATATATATATATATATATATATATATATATAATATATATATATATATATATATAATTATATATCTGTATGTGTGTGTAATTATATATCTGCAAGCAAGCTGGTCCTGAGAAGAAAAAAATGACTTCCAAAAATTATTAATTGTCCATTTAATTGTAAAGATATGTAAACATTTTATTATAATATATAGATAATTTGTTAAACAAATTATGACAAATAAAATACAACAACAAAACACTAACATATTTCCGACTGGAAATTCATTGAGAAATCCTGAAACATATTATTCGTCAGACCAGTGGTTGACTCAGAATGAGGTTGTTCTGTATCACCATTTATTATTATAAATCAATCAGTTATCCACAGAATGTAATAAAAATGGAAGAATGAGCAGTCATGGGAACTAGTAGTAAAATGAAACTATTGAAGATACAGGTTTTTAACATGTAAGCATATATTCAGAAAATGTACACAATTGTCTCAATAGTATAAATGACAAAAAATACAATACCGTCATTGAACAACCTAAAGTATTAATCTGGCAAAATAAAAATAAATAAATATATTAAAAAAAATTAATAGATAGTGTTTTCTTTCAGTTGTACTTGGTGAGGAACAAACAAAAATATGCCAGAGCAATAAACCCTACAACTACATCTAAGTAAACAAGCATTAATTGTAAGTTTTTTTTTGTTTTTTTTAAATACAAATTCTAGTAGTGAGAATTTGATAAAAAAAAAATTAAATAATAAAATAAAAAATAATGGTCATAGAAAAATATTAATATCTTCTAATTTATTTATTTTAAGCCAATTTTACACCAATTTTTAATTTGGTCAACTTAATTTACTTAAATATTAATATCCACATTCCCGGTTTGGAAGGACCATATGGATTAAAACTACTGTTTTTCCTTTTTGTTCCCATATGATTGAAGTTAGTGAAATTCAGGCTAGACTTAAAAGTTTTAATATAGGAAAATGAAAAAAATAAAATTCTCCAGGTCTTTCTCAAAGATCCTAGATTCAAGGAACAGGGCTGTGTGATGACAGAAGATTGGAATTGCCACATTTTGTCCACTATAACTTTAGGTGAGCATTCAGGCTAAAAAAAAAAAAGCCTCAACTTCAAAATTTAAGAAATCCACTTCTTAAATTATCTTTGAGTGAAACTGAGAAAGAATAGGTAAAATTCACTATAGTTTGGTAATTTGTTTTTTTCTCTTTTAATTATGGTCCGTTTAGAACTTATATCATACTTTTTTTGGACATGTCTAAGCTGGATTGATGTGGTTTTAAGTTTGAGGTTGTTTGTTGAACCCCTTTGATTACAAATTCTACCAATGGAAAAAAATAAAATCTTCTACCACTTTTGGCAGATGAAAGCAATAGTTTAGAAAACAATGTGCTTGTTTTTTCTAACCTATAGCAATACATTTGGGTTTGTTTTGATAGAAAAAGCATAAATTGAAAAATTATTTTTCAATTTTTAAACATTATAAGAAAGTATATTAATTATAGGATTAGAGAAAAGTTATTAATATATGAGGATTGTTGGTGGAACTCATATGAAGGGGTTTTTAAGTTAATAATACATATATAATAAGTAATAGAATAATAAATATATTTATAAGTGTTTTTTTTTCTTTTCGGTTGGCGCTACAGACCATGAAGATCTTTGGCTGTGAGATGTGGTCTCCTTACAGACGTATACTGCTTCCGGAAGCACAGATAGCCTGGAGGGAGTCACCCAACCCCATGTTGCTACGAACCATGGTCTCCATGGTGCAGCGACAGGCCACTTATAGCTCCATAGCCGATCCCTTTGGGGCCAATCTGGCAGTGTCCTTCCCACCGACTCACTCGGTTTCAAGGACAGTGAAAAATTGGTCTAGATAAATGGATTATGGCTGCTCAGTTAGTAGGCGCACTAGGATCTATAATTCTTTCCCTGAAACATAACGTCCATGGACCAACCTCAGGGGGGCTACTAACATCCTGGCAAACTACATCCCAATTCCCAATTTAAGTACACGGGGTAGGGCCATCAGTCCTACACCCGGTCGTTGTGAATTGCCTCCAGTAGGCTGACGGGCCTCACATACCCGTGGAAGGGGGGAGAGAGATTCGGGAAGTATGGCTTTCCTTGGTGGATGGTCACCCATCCAAGTACTAACCATGCTTGACATTGCTTAACTTTGATTACCTATTGCAAACGCCTTAGCCTGTATGACTACCCCGGCCCCATATATGTGGAATATTATATATATGTATTATTAATTTATATGATATATAAATTTAGCAAGTTATCATCTAACAGTAGCAAAGCTGGGACAACCCCACATATTTATTATTGTTAAGTTCAACTACCTACTTATTATTATTATTATTAATGTCTAATATTTTTTAGTATTTACTTGTTATCTTATCCTTGACCTGAAACTTAGGTTAAAATGTTGGCACAAAGAAAATAAACTTACTAAATGACAGTTGTTGTGGCCAAAATGAAGGTCATTTATTTTAATTTTATTTTCTTGTCACCATATCATAATATGGAGGTTAATTTTATTTTGTTAATAATTATCATAGATTATTTATTTTATTCAGTTTTATGTCCATATCATTATATGGTAAGCCTTACCCATTAAAACTATGCATCATTATATACATATCATTCATTCAATCAATTTAACATTTAAATTAAATTAACTTTTATTAAATAATAATAATTAAATCTCATTAATGGAATTTGTAAATTTAAAGTTAAGGTTGTTTTCTTTCATGCTTAATTTAATGTTTTAGCATAATTTTATTTCTCTCATTATTTAATTATTCTAATTTGCATTAGAAAAAATATTATTATTTTGAATTCATTCATTTATTTTGTATCATGTATTATCTCATTTATTATTTTTCTCAATATATAGAATTACTGTTATTCGGCATTTCATTTATGAACATATTTATCCTCATGGATTTCATAATTTTAACATTTTAAAATTAATTAATTAATTAATAAGGCTACAGTGCCTATGGATTAGGTTGTGCTGAATTGGCTGTTCAAACTTGAATGCCTGCTGTCTCCACAACAGTAAACAATATATCTACAAACACAAATAATAAATAAATCTATACATACATACCTATTAGTGCAACATCAGTATCTATCACCAAGAATTCACCTCTATAAGTACCAGCATGAAGAAAAACAATAGAAGGAACTCCTGTTGATGGATTTTCATCAGCATGATCTAAAGCTGTCTGAACAGTATCAAAGTGAGCTAGAGATCTACCTCTGGCTTTATACCGTGATCCCTGACCAGGTCGAACATGAATCCCTCGATATAACTGTCGGAAACTTTCTTTCCAAGGATTTGCATATTCGCAATCATTAGGCGGAATGAATTCAAATTTACATGGTTCTGGATTAAACAGCGGAATATCATATTCAAAGATATTATGATAAAGTCTTTTCCTAAAAAAATATAATCAAATAAATAAAAATAACACAGAAAATATAGATAAAAAAATATATCCTAAATATAATATATTGGCAATGATAAATCTAATTTCTGATATATGAACAATACCTACCATAATCCATTATCATTGGCAATGGTTTGAAATCTCTTACAAACTTGAGAAAGACGACATAAATCTTTTTCCAACAAATAACTGAATATGGTTAAAAGTACCTCATCAGGAAGTTCATATTGAAGATAATGAGCAGCAGGGGGTGAGAATACTAAAGAAAAATAAATTACTATTAATTTATAAGACAAGGTTATAAATCAGTTATTCTATTATTATGGAGTAATTAAAAGCTAAAAAATATAATATGATATACTTTGGCGATATGAACTTGCTTTAAACTTGAACTGAGCTCAATTGGACATCATTTTGAACTCAGACTTATAAAGTCTTATAAACAGACTTATAAATTGTTAAACTGACCCTTATAAAGACAACTGATTTATTAAAAATCAATTAGTTGTTGATTATATTTCATATAATTTAAGATAATTATAAGTCTGGACTACTAAACAATACTGACAATATTCGGTTTCAGTTCAAGCTTAGAGTAAGTACTGTAAATGGGGGAAATTCCATTAGTAATTAAAAAATCCTAGAACATAATAGTGCAGTGTTATATTAGCTTGTGCTGGAGCTGTTAGCAGAAAAAAGTTGTCAAGATAATTTGGGGAGGGGTGGCTGAGCGGGCTAATGTGTGTCCACAGCACTGTGTTACCCAGCAACCTAATAGAAGATAATTTGAATTTGACTGTATGCTGACATCTGAATTAGACTCCAAAATACATGATCCCCCCTTAACCTTGGTTTTACTTTTTTTTTTTTTAATTTTTGTTACTAATTTTTAATGTCGGAAGTGGGGTAGTTCAGTGGTAGGGCACTGATCTTCCAATGCACAAGGTCCTGTGTTCGAATTTCGGTTCATGGCAGAAAAACAATTTATTTTGTTTTATCAGCCGTTGGACAACACTGGGATCAGAAGACCCTCCTAGGAACACCCAGCTTCTATAAATTGGGTACCTTTAATTAAATAATTAATTAGAGGGAACACCTGGAGGTTGAGTGTGATCTCAGTGAATCACCTCCTTGCACAACCATTGACTAAGAAACAGAACTTTCCCTAAATAGTAGTGAACCCAAGACCCTTCATGGGTAGTAGTGGTACAGGTTTGGACACCAGGATTTTTCCGGATGCAGCGGACCATTTAAAGTCTATTAGGACTCCTGCAGAGGAAAATTTTCCAGCGGAGCTATTTTAATATGGGGTGAGTACCTATGTCAAAGAATTTACAATATTATATTTGAAAAATGAAATGATGAATCTATGATTGAGGAATGGTGTTCAGGATTGATTCTGCCGCTCTTTAAGAAAGGGGACAAGATGATATGTCAAAACTATAGAGGCATAATCCTGCTAAATGTTATTTACAAAATCCTGGCTAATATTTTAACTACAAGACTAAAATATAAGACTTTACTCGGAACAGATTTTCACGGATTACCAATGCTGTTTCATTCCTAACAAGGGTACTACTGATCAAATCTTTGTCTTGAATCAATTGCTTGAAAAATGTTATAAGCTGAATACGGATGTCCACATGCTATTTATTAATTTTAAGTAAGCTTTTGATCGTGTGGATAGAGTTCAACTGTTTAATGCCCTAAAAGAATTTTATGTTCCATTTAAATTAATGAATTTAATAAAAATGACGATGTCCCGGACACAGGCTAGTGTAATCATTGGCCATAGATTTAAAAGGAAAATACATTTTGTCTCTGGTGTAAGGCAGGGAAACTCCCTCTCTGCTGTTTTGTTTAATCTTGTGCTACATAAAGCACTACAAAATATTGTTTCTGTTGGAAGTCAAGCATCTCGCTTATGTCAAATACTTGGATACGCAGATGACATTGTGGTTCCGGCAAGAAGTAAGAAGGCATTGAAGGAAATTCTGGCAAAGATTGTGCAAGAAAGTAAAACTGTGGGTCTTGAGATAAAGCAATTTAAAACCAAATACATGGTAGCGTAAAGTTCTGAGGCAAGAAGAAGGCAAGCAAGATTTTAGATATGATGGCTATAAATTCGAAGCTGTTGGACACTTCATGTGCCTTAGCACTGAAATAAACATTATGGTTAGGGAGAGTGACAAGATTATGAGAAGAATAATATGTGGCAATAAAGCTTATTATAGTCTCTCTAGATTGATTAAATCTGCCCAACTATCAAAACACACAAAGCTCAAATTATATAAGACCCTTATCAGACCCGTTGAGTGCTATGGAGGGAAGACGTAGACGCTTAAAGTAGCCGATCAGCAAGCCCTTAGAATATTCAAAAGAAAAACTACGAGACGTATTTTTGGTCCAATAAATGAACAAGGCACATGGCGCATTAGGTGTAACCAAGAATTGAACGATCTGATACAGCATAAAGATATTGTAAGATTCATTAAAGCTAGAAGAATTAGTTGGCTAAGTCATACTGAGCGAATGCCAGATAAAAGAAAGAGACGTCCATGTAAATGCTGGACTAAAGAGGCATAAGAGGACTTTAATAAAATTGGAATGACCAACTGGAAGAGATGGGCCATGAACAGAGAAGAAGGCCAAGCGGGCTAACACGTATCCACAGCACCGTGTTAAAAAAATAACTCAAGTGAAAGACCTCAATCCGCCTTGCTTGGATGCCATTTTGGGACAGTGCGGCCGCTTTTTTTTAGTGGGAACATTGACTTTTTTTTCAATAAATAGTTACAAGGAACTCAAGAATATGCAATTTATTGAAATGTAGGGAGAGGTTGCAGGGTAGGGGGTCTGGCCCATCGTGTAACATACTTTCCAAAACACCTGCTGACTACCGTCTACCATTCTAGTCAATGGCTCCTTATCTTCAAGGCAATGAAAACAAAAAAAGTTCGAAATTTCAATGGTTTTTGGAGCACTGCAGCGAACTCATGAGGCTTTCAAGGGGGGAAACTAGGATTTATAACTAGTAAATGAGTAAGTGAAATGTGAGAATGGAAGACAAGTGAAATGCTAAAAACATTCAAATGTTTGTAGAATGACTTCATGACCATAACACTTTTAATCACTTAACTGCTAACGACAGCTTTAACTGCTAACAGCTGAACGTCTGAGTTTATAAAAATGTTATTTAGTTTAGTATAGGTTATTTTAGTTAAAAATTAAGTCAAATAAGATTAGTTCAGTCGGTTACGTGGCCATATAGAATTGATTATTTTAGTTAGAAGTTAGTCCTTTTTTTTTGTTAATTGCTTCATTATTTTCTTTAAAATGGAGAAACAGAGGTTAAATGCTGCAGAACGTGCTGAATTCATTACTACAGAAATATAGCATAAAAAAAGAGTTTGGGCACAAAGCAAGGTAGAATGTCGCAATTGTAAGGCTTTTCTTTGTATTGGCAAATGTTCGAAGAATATCATACAAAATTAAATTATTAAATAAATATTTAAAAAAAAAAAAAATTAAAATAAATAAAATTAAAAAAATATTTTTAACACCGCCAGTGTCAGTCCACAGCCCAAATCAAAAAGGAGACTGGAAACAACAAAATAAGGTTAAAATATAGTAGTAAGAGCAGTAATGAAGGGTGGTAGAAAGCAGGTAAAAAGTATGTACGGCGGGCTGGTAGCAGTATTAATTAGGTGTTTCATTTAAAAAGTGTATACTTCTTTATAATGATTCAATATGGGCGAACTTCAACCAGCTTCTTCTAGTTTGATTGAGGTATACAATAGTTAGCCAAATAATGTTTACAATACAGACAATTGAAATAGATTGAAATGGTAAGTAATACAATATTTTAAGAATAACATTATTGATCATAAAAAAAGACTATTACATTAAGGATTAAATAGTTCTAATAGTATAAGTATAGACATTTCGGTGCCTGTTTATTATATATTTATATTCAGAATAGACGTTATATGTATATATAATTAACGTAGGAGTAGTTATCTCTGTACGTTGACAAGGAAATGGGGAAAATGAAAAACAATTTTTAATTATTATAGACTATTATTTTATGAGGTGGAAAATAATAGCCTATAATATTAAAAATTGTTTTTTATTTTCCCCACTTCCCTGTTAACGTACTCCTACGTTTATTATAAATACATATATATATATATATATATATATATATATATATATATATATATATATATATATATATATATATATATATATATACTGACAGGCAAAAAATTCCACCTACTTGATTTTTTCATGTTTTCATCTAAAAATATTTCTGCCACTCATAAAAAAAGTTTTATTTGTATATAATACATGGTATTTGTAGATAATACTAAGTATTTATGGAATTTTATAATCTTTTTTACCTTTAATAATCAAAATGTGATTGGGTAAGAAAGATTAGAGAAAAAAAAATTGAAAAACGAACCATTATTATTCTAAAAGAAATAAATTACATCATCGTTTAGTAGAACATGTTTCCTCCTCTTGCCTTCACTACTTCTTGAAGACGCCTCGGCATACTTTCCACCAGTCGGGAAATGTCCCTTTGCTGGAGGATAGCCCATTCCTTCCGAGCCCTTTCAAGGTCCTGCAGTGTATCAGGAAGTGTTGCATGCGCTCTTATTCGTCTTCCGAGGTTATCCCATAAATGCTCAATGGGGTTCAAATCTGGAGAACGTGCTGGCCAGGCTAAAACCTCAATATTGTTCAGTTGAAGGAACATCTGCACTTCCAAAATCTCATCTACATAGCGAATGGCCATCAAAGACCCTCCACGAACAACAACCAATTCAGTGCGGCGCTCCATTGAAATCCCAGCCCACACCATTAAGGAACCACGTTGGAAAGGTTGGCTCTGGGAAAAATTACAGGCTGCATATCTTTCGTTTCTTCTTCTCCACACCCTTTCATGCCCGTCTGGAGATCGAAGAGCAAATCTTGACTCATCAGTAAAAAGTACAGCACTCTATTCGTCCATAGTCCAATGGCTGTGTTCTCGAGCAAAAGCCACCCGTGTTACTCTGTGAGTTCTGGTCAACTCTGTTCCTCTTACTGGACGAAAAGCCATTAATCCATACTCATTTAATCTTCTCCGAGTGGTACGTTCAGAAATTTGCACACCTCGAACTTCTTCGAGCTGATGAATAGCTTGAACAACGGTAAGGTGCCGGTTAAAATTCTCAAAGTCAAAAACCGGTCATCCCGTGGCTCTGTTACCCTAGGCTGTCCAGAACTGGGCCTTCTATTGTAAGAACCAGTTTTCCGAAAACGCCTGACGGCGTCTCGTAAAGTTTCATATGGAACTCCGATGGCATTAGCTGTATATCTAGTGGAATGTCCATCATCAATAAATGCCACACCACGCGCAACATCCTCAGCACTAAGAGGCATTTTTAAACTTAATATTGAAAAAATTAAAAGCTGGAGACTAAGAAATGTGCTGCAAGAAACGGCACTGAACTAATGATACTGAATAAACATTTTGATTCCATAGAAAGTAAACATTGGAATCTAGAATCATTTCATTGAATTAAGGATTAAGGGTTATTGTCCTCTATATTAACATTCCTAATTAAAAACAAACAAAAAGATTACCTATTTATTCATTAAAAACAATAGACCAACCTAAAGCAGAAATATTTTTAGATGAAAACATGAAAAAATCAAGTGGGTGGAATTTTTTGCCTGTCAGTGTATATATATATATATATATATATATATATATATATATATATATATATAAAACGTCTATTCTGAATATAAATATATACTGTAAACAGGCACAGATATGTTTATACTTATACTATTAGAACTATGTAATCCTTAATATAATAGTCTTTTTTTATTTTTGTGATCAATATTGTTATTCTTAAAATATTGTATCACTTACCATTTCAATCCATTACAATTTTCTGTATTGTAAACATTATTTGGCTAACTATTGTATACCTCAATCAAATTATGTTATGTTTATATTGATTGGCATCTCTTATTTATGTTTATTTCATTACTAGCCAATAGTCACAATTCTGTAACTATAAGAAACAACGCAAATCTTGTATACATCTTGAATAATTTAGTTTATAAATTATTTGCATTCTACAAACAGAAATGTTACCCCTCTCCCCCCTCTGACCTATGCTATCTACCTTTATACCTTTATAGCTACCTATCTTAAATGTACATCAGAAAAATCTTATTTTTAATGTTTATTTTAATGTTATTTTTAATGTTTTATTTTTAATGTTCTAAAAAATTTTATAAATGTACATCAGAAAAATACTGACCCTTTTCCTTACATACTGAAGTGTCAGTACTTAAATACCTTCAGTGTTCCAAACACGGTTAATAAGAGAAAATATTACACTTTTTTTATAAATTAATTATATACATTATTTTTAGTTTGTATAACTTTTTACGTATTTCATTTGTCTATTTCATGTATCATCAATCACTATTTTAATTAATTTATTATTAACTGTTATCTGTTGTATAACATTATATCTCTGATTGTATCAAACAAATTTGGGTTGAAATGTCGGCACCAATAAAATCTTTATAATGATTGCGCGCTGAATATTTATCACCCAAGTTATTATTTATATATTATACATTCTTCTGAATTTTAATGCTTACTTTCATTTAAATTTGATAAGCTCTTTCAGGTTTAAGAAAAAAAAAATTACTTACTATCAGTGTTTACAGAACATGACCTACGAGGTCTTTTCCTTAGATTAGGGAAGCCATTTTCTAAAACTGGGTAAGGAGGCGATTTTCTACGGAGATCATAAGGAGGATTGTGAGGTGGTTGTGAGTTCATAACAGTAGTAGGAATTCCATTAGAACTGCTTCCAGAAGCACAGGTTTCGGCTGAAATATTAATTAAAAATTATTAAATACAAACAATAATGACAACAATAGTAACTAAAAAAAATATGGCTATAATTAAATAAAAATTAATAAATACAAACAATAATGACAACAATGGTAAATAAAAAAATATGACTATACAAAAACATACATAAGATACTAAACCCGAACAAGTAAAAATTTATTCATAGGTTTTTTTTATGCTAATGGAAATTTAATATTATTGTATAAAATAATTATAAAAGCACATGAAATACTAAATCTGAACAATTTAGTTTATGAATGCAAATGAAGCATAATTTTATGCATATGAAAAATTAAGCAGCTATAACTTTACAAACTTTTGCCTGTAAATATCAAGATAAAAGATGATTGTCACTAGACATTTGGTTTAGAAAACTAATATAACTCGTTGTAAGGTGTGTAATGTAGAACTTATTAACAGAAAGCCAATAGATGGAAGTAGGAGTAAATTTAGAATACAAGCATATTCCTTACACAAGAATTGCAGTGTTGAATAGATACAAAAAAATTAATAAAACAACAAATATATAATTAAAATGTTAGTGAAATTGGTCCTTGTAAATAATAAGTTAATAATGGGTAAGTAGTTATATAAGTATTTTCTTACAACCTTAGTTTAAGTTTTTGACTCATCAAGTAGCAAGTGTCATGGTCGCAACTAAAGTTTAGCTTTCATGTTTGTTACTATGCAATGTGCTTAATATTTAAAATTCTTGAGTAAGACTTGATCAATAGTGATTTTATAAACAATTGTACATTTTCTTGTTCATGGATATTCAGGTGAATTGCTGTTTATTAACAATGAACGATTTATAAATAGGTACTCAATAGGTTAGCTAAAGTGGCTAATTATTCCCTAGCAGGTCTTACCATACTTGCGTTAAGTTGACAGTCAGGCCTTTATTTACATCCTTACATCGCCTGATGATCCACAAACGAGTTTGAATAGAGATTTTTTTTTTCTTCTTATTTTTCTTTTTTTAGGAAGCCTACGTTTATAAATTTTTTTCATAGTTAAGACAATAATACTTCCAATTTCCTTCAAATCCCTTTAATCACATTTATTATATCTAACGTTCCGGGACAATTTTCCCATCATCAGAGCAATCCTTATCTTCACTGAAACTATGCACATTTTAAATAAACTATTTTTACAGTACCAATCTACTTCATCTATTGTACAATTATTTACCTTACTTTTTTGACAATGAATAAGAAAAGATGTGTAACACTAAAAAAATATAAAATGAATGTGACAAATATTTGAATTTTCGACAAATGGTGCCATATCAAAAAAGCAAGGTAAATAATTGTACAATAGATGAAGTAGAATGGTACTGTAAAAATAATTTATTTAAAATGTGCATAGTTTCAGTGAAGATAAGGATTGCTCAGATGATGGCAAACATTAGAGATAATAAATGTGATTAAAGGGATTTGAAGGAAATTGGAATATTTCTAGAAATGTTTTATTTTATTTCTTTTTGTAGATATGTATATAGTTTATTTTCTTTAAGAATTTATTTCATAAATTCTTATCTCTAATTGTTTTATTTAGGTATATATTTTTTTTCCCTCTTATCATAAACATGGACAACATGAATGTTAATAAGAACTCTACAAGCGAAGATTTAGAAGACGAGATGCCCTTTTCTGAAATTAGAAAACTGACTCGCAATATTTAAAAAGGCGTACACTTCAAAAACGTCACTAAAACTCTATCCCTGGGTCGGGGGGCAACTCACCAAAAAAAAAAAAAATAAAAAAATAAATCGACTAAACCCAAACAGTCAACTGAGCAAAATAAGTCGACTAAATCAAAACAGTCAGCCGAGCAAAATAAACAATCACCTCAAACCAGAAGCAAAACAAATGCTACAAAATAAGAACCAACTCCACCATCATAACTAGCAAGAATTCTGCTATCGTTAATAACTCAACAAAAAAGTCTTCGGAGCCTCAAGAACTTCCTGACCCTGAACCCCCACCGATTTTAATTTCTAAAATCGATAATTTCTTTTCATTTGTTCAAGAAATTGTGAATCTGATCGGGCAAACAAACTTTCAATGTTTTTCAAAAGTCAACGACATAAAAATAAACACAAATTCTAAAGGACATTATAAAATACTAATAAATCACTTCACTACTAACAATTACAATTTTCACTGTTACCAGTTAAGACACGAAAAGGCATATTGAGTTGTTTTGAGAGGTCTACTACACTCAACCACTCCTATCTCAGTTATCAAAACATATCTGAAAGAAATTGGTCACAATTTCAGGTACATATCCTGCATACTACATCCAACAGGAAAATATCTGTTGGCGTTATTTTTTATCGACTTAGAGCTTGCCAGTAACAACATTGAAATATTTCAAGTGAAAAGGCTTGTATATTCAACAGTGAAATTTGAGGAGCCCAGGCAAAAACCTGTGATAGTGCAATGCACTAAGTGCCAAGGCCTAGAACACACGAAGACCTACTGCCATCATTAGGCCAGGTGCATCAGATGTGGCGGATCACGCGCTTCTGACACTTGCCAACAACCTCGTGATCAGCCTGGCGACCAACATCCTGCAAGTTACAAAGGATGTAAAGTTTATAAACACCAGGTTAAACTTTGATCGCAAAATATTGCTTTAAAAACCCAGAACCTGAGTCAGAAAAGTACTACCCAGCCACCTGAAATTGAAAATTCATCACAATTCCTTGAACTACCCAAAACTAATCAACAACAACAGCCTTCTACTTCAACAGCCATTAAACACCAGGACTCCGGAAAATCGCACTAAAGTACCAAGAGCAGGTATCAGCAGCCTCAACATCAACAGACGTCTCATCAACCGATTCCTCCTTATCATCTACCCACATGGGTCAAACTACTTTGAAGTGTAGGTGACTACCGCCACAGCATCCTCATCTATCCTAACTTCATATCCAGACAAAACCACCTTAACACAACAGTGTTCTTTTTGTACACCTACCTCATGCACAATGACGGATCCTGCCCTCAGTTAACACTCCAAAGCAAATTGATCATACGCCACAACTTCCTAACCCAAATCCACTCTGACATCAACCAACATCCAACTGACATAACTAGTATCCTTTTATCCTTTCTATTAGATCTACAGGAGAACATAAAACCTCTCATCACTCTTCTCACCAGAGTCCTGACCGATATCCCTTTTAATTTTCCACGATGAGTGCAAAAGCCCCTAGCTATCATTTTATGGAACACTAATGGCCTACATAACCAAAGAGACGAAACGGACAAAATTCTATATATGTGACTACATCATTTATAGATCTGAACACCCAGACAATGCGGTTCTTGCATCCTAATACATAAATCTTAATCTCATTTCCCTTATTCCTTCCACTCCATCTGATACCATTCAATCAACGTTTGTAATCATTAAAACTTGCTCTTTCCATCTAACACACTCAGCTGTATACTGCCCTCTTAGTAATTTCCTCTCTTATATCCTTCTTGATTCCTTATACCAATCCCTCGGATCAAGCTTTATTGCCGGAGGAGACTACAATGCTAAATACCAACAATGGGGTTGCCGAACATCGAATTCCTGAGGTAACATCCATTCACGTGTTTCATCCTCCAACTGCTATTCTATCATCTCACCCAAGAATCCTACTTATTGGCCAACATCCCTCAAAAAATGTCACGATATCCTGGGTATATTTATAGATTTCTTCTTCCCAAACCGTAATCAAATTCTTGGATAACCTTTCTTCTGATCATAGTCTGGTTCTGCTTTTACTACATTCAAAGTTTGCTCCAAAACTCTCACATCCTACATTGATTTTAGGACGATTTAACTGGGACAATTTCGTGATGATTTAGAAAATAAATTAGACTTGAAAATTACGCTAAAGACAAAACAAAATGTAGATGTGCCATAGAGAAACTTAATGCATCAATAACAGACAGTATCAATAAAAACACCTGTATTAGTAAAATTAACAATTCACAACAGACTTCTCACAGCATATTCGTATCTTATTAAGAAAAAAACGCAGAGCAAGATCGAAGTGGCATAGAACTAGATAAAACTCATTACACCAAACTGACTAACAAACTAAAATCAGAAATTAGAAAATTCAAAATTTACTTAATTTTACTGAAAACTAACAACTACCGACAAATCACAGTGAATGACCACTAAAAAGCTCCTAAAATTCAAACACTTTTAACTGAACTTCAAACCTGGTCCAAATCCGAATCGGACGAAGAAAAGTCACAAATATTTGCTCATTACCTCTACAAAATCTTTAATCCAACACATCCTGATATCCTAAATCCTTATCACCTGGAATGTATTGAAGCAGAACAGGATATTCCACTCCAAATGATTCTCCTACCTAAAGCATTTCATCCTTCAGAAATATCCAATATCATTAACAGATTACCTTCCCACAAAGCTCTTAGACACTGCTTCCTTGGAAAGAGATTTTATTTCTTACTTATATATGTAATGCTGTGTTCCGATGCACATAATTTTCTGACCCTTGGAAACTGTCTATTGTGAAAATAATACACAAACCTAAAAAGACACCAGAATACCCATCCTCTTACCTCCCTATTTCTCTTCTACCCACCATGGACAAATTCCTGGAAAAACTCATCTTAAAACACCTGTATCCCATCATAGATTCTAACCACATTATAACAAATTTGGATTACGCACATCCCACTCCAATATTCAGCAATGTCATTGTGTGGTAGACATAGTCTCCTCTACATTAGAGCACGGAATGTACTGCACAGGAGTTTTTCTCAACGTTGAAGAGGTGTTTGATAGGGCCTGGCATCCAGGACTAATGTACAAACTCTGAAAATTCCTACCATCTATATCAAAAAAAGTAACACTTGCTATACGACAACTATCCTGGAATCTCCTTCATATCATGCGCTTATAAAGTTTTTTCCATAATCCTCTTTAACAGAATGAT